GAAGATGTGATCAAATGAGATTCCCTTTCAAGCACGTGGTTTCTAAGAAAGGAAAAGCATCTCAGTGGTGGCTGGCTTCTTCTGCTACCCCGATCCACACAGATATATATAGCAACTCACAGGTAAGAAAGAGTACTGCTTTACCATATATTTGGGGAAAATACCTTAGTTTATAGTTGAATTTGAATCTTGTAGCCTTAAACACTTATTGAGAATGGAAATAGTTTGAGATGGTGGGGATTCGACAAAGCACGGATTGTAGAGAAAGGCGAAAGGATCTCTTGAACCAGAAGTGATTTCAATTTGAGTGTAAACTGAGTTTGAGAAAGCGAGGCTCATCTGCAGTTTATTCAGGTTTGTACATGTAGCCGAGGCTTTCTAAACGAGGGGCTTGGCATACTTTCGCTCAAAACGGCATTCCGCTATGAAACGGGTAGAAAAGTCTGGAAGCAACTAGAGCTTAAAACAAATCTAGGTGCTTAAATACCTTCGTTTACCGCACCCAGATTCGAGCCAGAAATCTTATCTACGCCTATTATTTTACAATATCAAGTTATTGACTTTGAATCACCGGATTTTCGGTGAAAATCTATTTAATTTTGTAAGTGAAAATGTCGTACGCGTGTAAATGGTCCTAAGTCATGTCGTAGGCCTGTCGTAAGCTTGTCGCATGCGACAAAGTCGTACCGTGTAAATCGGCTCTAAGACAAACCTACAGATTATTGAGCCATGTTTAGTATTTGATGCCTATAGAAACAGGAAAAATACTACTACTCATGACATAATTGCATATACTCTTTTAATATAAATATTTCTAATCTTATACAATTTCACACTAACATGTAGAGCTCCTATTAATTTCTTTTTTCACAATAAAAATGCAAGCTACTGATAAAATGGTTTTTAATTATAAGCGTGACCAACTGTCAACCTAAGTTATTTAAAACGAAAGTCGTACCGTTGAAATCGATTCTAAGACTAACCTACAGATTATTGAGCCATGCTTAGTATTTGATGTCTATAGAAACAGGAAAATTACTGGTACATAACTGCATATAGTCTTCTTATATAAATATTTCTAATCTTATATAATTTCACAGTAACAGCTCCTATTAATTTCTTTTTTCACAATGAAAATGCAAGCTATTGATAAAATGGTTTTTAATTATAAGCATGACCAGAAGCATATCACCTTGTCAGATCTTGAAAGAAAGAGTCACTGCTTCAAAATGGTTCACAGTTGAACCCTGCTACCTCCAACTTTCATGGGAAACGGAAAATAGTTCGAAATGGCGGGGAATCAAGATAGTAGATAGTAGAGGAATGCAAAAGCATACATTGAACCGAAATTGATTTGAAGTTTAGAACGCGAGGTTCATCTGCAGTTTATTTACGTTTGTACATGTTGTCGTAAACTTCTAAAGGAGGTACTAAGTACTTTGATTTCTCTTCGAAGCGTACACCAACATACACAAACCTCGAATGAAACGCGTGGAAAAGTCTGAAAGCGAAAAAAAATGTCTAGGTGCTTAGATACCTTCATTTATATTACTCAATACCGTACCCAGGTTTGCAATAAATGAGTCCGAAATCTTGTCTACTCTCCTAATATCTTACAACATCAACTCTTTGACTTTGTATGACCAGATGTTCGGTCGAATTCGGGTACTGTGAATACCTATTCGTTTCGCTTCGGCGGCACGGCAAACGTCAGCCTCGCGCGCAATTAATAAAATAGTCTCGTCCTAATAGGAACTACTGAGAAGCCAATCAAAGAGGTACGATTAGGGAAAAGCACCGAAACGGATGAATTAAATGTAAATAATGAAGAGGATGGAGTGGTGGATAAGTTTCTTTTGAACACGACAGGCCAGTAGATGCGCCTTCGTTTAAAGTTGCATAAAACTGACCCGAAGCGGAACTTTATTGACCAAAAAACCCCTCAACTTAGAAACCGTCGTATTAATAATGACCTAAATCATATTTGATTTAAAATATTCAACGTTTCTGTCGTGTGGCCTGTCATTATTAAGACACAGGAGACTTGATTTGAGTGCGAGATCGAGTACAAGTACGACTTTTCAAATCTAGGTTTATACACCGAGGCTTTGCATTATTACGTATAAAATACCCATCTCATCGCATGAGTTACCCTCTCTATCTAAAACCAACATGACAGGCCGGTAGATGCGCCTTCGTATAAATTTGCATAAACTGATCTGAAGCGGAACTTTATTGACCAAAAAAACCCCTCAACTTAGAGACCAAAATATTAATAATGACCTTAGTCATATTTGATTCAAATGTTGAGGGTTGCCCAGTTCTTAGTCAGATCACCAGTTTGCGAATGGCAAACACACTGGTTTATGCTACTGATATAAATTACTTTCTCGAAAATTCTCGAATATGCCAGAGGCCTGTCTGTTGCTAATATTGAAGAAACTAAGTTACATTCATTTTATCATTATTCTTTACTTTCAGCTTTTAACGAGCGCCATCGTGAGAAAAATGGGCTGGGCTGCGTGGGGAGCAATGCTAGTGTTAAAGATTGGAGGAAAGATGGTTTTTAATGCCGTCATACCTGGGTCAGGTGCATGCATAGAGTTTGCTGAAGCGGTAATCTGTTACCGCAATGGCGATGCATGTGGTTGTATGATAAGCATCGTCTCGGGAGTCGCGGACCTTGCTACGTTTGGTCTTGCGGGCGCCACTAAAGATGCAATGAAAAAAAGTGCAAAGAAAAGTGTTGTCCAATTTGCCAAAGAAACGGTGAAGACGGGCTCTAAAGAAGCATCCAAAAAGGGTGGTCAGCAAGTTGGAGAGGAACTTGCAAAAGATGTGATCCCTTCAGCAGTTGAAGAAGTCTTCTTCAAAGGTACCAAGTTGACAGTTAAACAGTTCCTCCAGGCTACTGGGTTTTCATTCATTTCTAGTGGAGGACATGGAATTGGGAAAACAATTATGGAAGCTTCGATCGAGAAATTGATTACTGAATCGCTGAAAGTGAAACCTATAGCGATTGCGTTTGAATTAACCAAGGAAGCTGCTAAAAAAGGCGCAGAGGAAGAGTTAAAGAAACAATCCTACAAATTTATTGTTAAAGACGCCACCTTTTCACTTGTAAAAGGAGGCATAAGATTCAATCAAGATGATAGAAAATAATACCAAACGCTTGTTACGTGTAGAGCTATTTCAGTTTTCATTTACCAGCAGGGAGATGATACTGAAAGCTCGGTCTTTCTTTTTCCCTACTGCTATTCACATAGTTGTAATTAATAACTCTGCAAGTAGTTTTATAACTAGATTTCGCACATCGGAACACATCGTTCAAGATTCTTGGGAAAGCAAAACTTTTTCTCTCGTGGCCAGTAATTAAGTGTATAATGATGTCCTGCTAGATGTAGCCCTATACTACTGGTAGATCAAATTTCACTGAAGAGCAAACAGAATCCACAACTTGGCGAAATTGCTGGATAGAGGTCTTTTAGAATGCTTTAAAAAAACAAGGAGTAACTAATACCTTTGTTTAGGACACGACGATGAAATTTTAGAAAGTTTGCCAGACTTTTCGATTTGTTCATGTTATCATAACCTTGTGCTTGTGTAACTCATAACAACACCTATAGCTTCAGACCGATACACATGTATTTTATAGTACTTTAAACAAGAACATTAGTTTTATGTTTCTATTAATAAGACTAAATCTTTTAGGTTTTAACTTTTTAAAGTTATGTTTATTATAGTGCAACTGTAATCACGGTAATCTAATAAAACTAAGTCAGGTTTGAGTCGCAAAAATATATATATATGAAAGATGATATATCAAAGTGTGGGAGTTGTCAACCATTACCTAGTGATGAGAAGGCTTATCCTTTTCGGGAACGAAACATCACTCCCATACGTTTGTCAAAGTCAAGTATGTATTATAATGGAGTAATTCTCTCCAGTTTAACACCAATGTTGGCATGGTCCCGGCTTCTAAGAAGACATAGATGGCAATTGTAACTGTTCCTGGCGGCAATGTATCAAAATGACTTAGTAAGATAGTAACTGATGAAATTTTTTTTTATTTCATTTTAAATGTTAACCGAAATCGTTTTTGTCTAAGGTAAATAATGACTGTAATTTTCTTTCATGGCACATTTTTCAGTTTCCGCTCTCCGTGCAACTGAGGTTTGATGCTCAGTCATAGTGTAGGCTGAAATGTACTAATAAAACTTTGTTGTTATTGTTGTTGCTGTCGTTGTTGTTNATATACTCTTTTAATATAAATATTTCTAATCTTATACAATTTCACACTAACATGTAGAGCTCCTATTAATTTCTTTTTTCACAATAAAAATGCAAGCTACTGATAAAATGGTTTTTAATTATAAGCGTGACCAACTGTCAACCTAAGTTATTTAAAACGAAAGTCGTACCGTTGAAATCGATTCTAAGACTAACCTACAGATTATTGAGCCATGCTTAGTATTTGATGTCTATAGAAACAGGAAAATTACTGGTACATAACTGCATATAGTCTTCTTATATAAATATTTCTAATCTTATATAATTTCACAGTAACAGCTCCTATTAATTTCTTTTTTCACAATGAAAATGCAAGCTATTGATAAAATGGTTTTTAATTATAAGCATGACCAGAAGCATATCACCTTGTCAGATCTTGAAAGAAAGAGTCACTGCTTCAAAATGGTTCACAGTTGAACCCTGCTACCTCCAACTTTCATGGGAAACGGAAAATAGTTCGAAATGGCGGGGAATCAAGATAGTAGATAGTAGAGGAATGCAAAAGCATACATTGAACCGAAATTGATTTGAAGTTTAGAACGCGAGGTTCATCTGCAGTTTATTTACGTTTGTACATGTTGTCGTAAACTTCTAAAGGAGGTACTAAGTACTTTGATTTCTCTTCGAAGCGTACACCAACATACACAAACCTCGAATGAAACGCGTGGAAAAGTCTGAAAGCGAAAAAAAATGTCTAGGTGCTTAGATACCTTCATTTATATTACTCAATACCGTACCCAGGTTTGCAATAAATGAGTCCGAAATCTTGTCTACTCTCCTAATATCTTACAACATCAACTCTTTGACTTTGTATGACCAGATGTTCGGTCGAATTCGGGTACTGTGAATACCTATTCGTTTCGCTTCGGCGGCACGGCAAACGTCAGCCTCGCGCGCAATTAATAAAATAGTCTCGTCCTAATAGGAACTACTGAGAAGCCAATCAAAGAGGTACGATTAGGGAAAAGCACCGAAACGGATGAATTAAATGTAAATAATGAAGAGGATGGAGTGGTGGATAAGTTTCTTTTGAACACGACAGGCCAGTAGATGCGCCTTCGTTTAAAGTTGCATAAAACTGACCCGAAGCGGAACTTTATTGACCAAAAAACCCCTCAACTTAGAAACCGTCGTATTAATAATGACCTAAATCATATTTGATTTAAAATATTCAACGTTTCTGTCGTGTGGCCTGTCATTATTAAGACACAGGAGACTTGATTTGAGTGCGAGATCGAGTACAAGTACGACTTTTCAAATCTAGGTTTATACACCGAGGCTTTGCATTATTACGTATAAAATACCCATCTCATCGCATGAGTTACCCTCTCTATCTAAAACCAACATGACAGGCCGGTAGATGCGCCTTCGTATAAATTTGCATAAACTGATCTGAAGCGGAACTTTATTGACCAAAAAAACCCCTCAACTTAGAGACCAAAATATTAATAATGACCTTAGTCATATTTGATTCAAATGTTGAGGGTTGCCCAGTTCTTAGTCAGATCACCAGTTTGCGAATGGCAAACACACTGGTTTATGCTACTGATATAAATTACTTTCTCGAAAATTCTCGAATATGCCAGAGGCCTGTCTGTTGCTAATATTGAAGAAACTAAGTTACATTCATTTTATCATTATTCTTTACTTTCAGCTTTTAACGAGCGCCATCGTGAGAAAAATGGGCTGGGCTGCGTGGGGAGCAATGCTAGTGTTAAAGATTGGAGGAAAGATGGTTTTTAATGCCGTCATACCTGGGTCAGGTGCATGCATAGAGTTTGCTGAAGCGGTAATCTGTTACCGCAATGGCGATGCATGTGGTTGTATGATAAGCATCGTCTCGGGAGTCGCGGACCTTGCTACGTTTGGTCTTGCGGGCGCCACTAAAGATGCAATGAAAAAAAGTGCAAAGAAAAGTGTTGTCCAATTTGCCAAAGAAACGGTGAAGACGGGCTCTAAAGAAGCATCCAAAAAGGGTGGTCAGCAAGTTGGAGAGGAACTTGCAAAAGATGTGATCCCTTCAGCAGTTGAAGAAGTCTTCTTCAAAGGTACCAAGTTGACAGTTAAACAGTTCCTCCAGGCTACTGGGTTTTCATTCATTTCTAGTGGAGGACATGGAATTGGGAAAACAATTATGGAAGCTTCGATCGAGAAATTGATTACTGAATCGCTGAAAGTGAAACCTATAGCGATTGCGTTTGAATTAACCAAGGAAGCTGCTAAAAAAGGCGCAGAGGAAGAGTTAAAGAAACAATCCTACAAATTTATTGTTAAAGACGCCACCTTTTCACTTGTAAAAGGAGGCATAAGATTCAATCAAGATGATAGAAAATAATACCAAACGCTTGTTACGTGTAGAGCTATTTCAGTTTTCATTTACCAGCAGGGAGATGATACTGAAAGCTCGGTCTTTCTTTTTCCCTACTGCTATTCACATAGTTGTAATTAATAACTCTGCAAGTAGTTTTATAACTAGATTTCGCACATCGGAACACATCGTTCAAGATTCTTGGGAAAGCAAAACTTTTTCTCTCGTGGCCAGTAATTAAGTGTATAATGATGTCCTGCTAGATGTAGCCCTATACTACTGGTAGATCAAATTTCACTGAAGAGCAAACAGAATCCACAACTTGGCGAAATTGCTGGATAGAGGTCTTTTAGAATGCTTTAAAAAAACAAGGAGTAACTAATACCTTTGTTTAGGACACGACGATGAAATTTTAGAAAGTTTGCCAGACTTTTCGATTTGTTCATGTTATCATAACCTTGTGCTTGTGTAACTCATAACAACACCTATAGCTTCAGACCGATACACATGTATTTTATAGTACTTTAAACAAGAACATTAGTTTTATGTTTCTATTAATAAGACTAAATCTTTTAGGTTTTAACTTTTTAAAGTTATGTTTATTATAGTGCAACTGTAATCACGGTAATCTAATAAAACTAAGTCAGGTTTGAGTCGCAAAAATATATATATATGAAAGATGATATATCAAAGTGTGGGAGTTGTCAACCATTACCTAGTGATGAGAAGGCTTATCCTTTTCGGGAACGAAACATCACTCCCATACGTTTGTCAAAGTCAAGTATGTATTATAATGGAGTAATTCTCTCCAGTTTAACACCAATGTTGGCATGGTCCCGGCTTCTAAGAAGACATAGATGGCAATTGTAACTGTTCCTGGCGGCAATGTATCAAAATGACTTAGTAAGATAGTAACTGATGAAATTTTTTTTTATTTCATTTTAAATGTTAACCGAAATCGTTTTTGTCTAAGGTAAATAATGACTGTAATTTTCTTTCATGGCACATTTTTCAGTTTCCGCTCTCCGTGCAACTGAGGTTTGATGCTCAGTCATAGTGTAGGCTGAAATGTACTAATAAAACTTTGTTGTTATTGTTGTTGCTGTCGTTGTTGTTTTGTTGTTGTTATTGTCGCTTCAGCTTCGGTTTGAAAGAGTAACATACTTAACCTCTCAACAATAATTTGAACTCAAGAACTGGATCAACCGGTGAAACTCTTTCTGGATCTTTTTTTCCTACTTTTTACTTGCACGTAACGAAGCCTGTATCGCTCCCTTCTGGTTCACCGACTAGAGTTGCTTAATTTAAACGGTGAAACATCTAAATCGTTTGAACTTACCTGTCGAAAAGAGTGGAATTAATCTAATTTATACTAGAATTAGTGCCTAATATTATCCAGCAACGTGACTTTTCACGATTTAAAAGTTCAACGTCCACGGAAGTAGCTTATTCCAGGCTTTCGGTAGTTGGGGTCGAGCGAAATAAAGAGGGCGATCGAGGGAAAAAACGAGGGTGATCCTTGTTTTTTCTCTCTCTCGCTCGCCCGCTTTTCTCCCCAACTATCTAGAACATGGAACAGGCTAGGTTTAATTTTCGTCCTAGTTGCTTCGCATCCACGTTGATGTTCTTTGTTTCCAATGATGACTGGAAGAGTTAACAGAAAAGGGGTATTGTAGAAGAATGTTGATAGATGATAGACAAATAGAACTAAAATTTTAGGTGGGGCATGATCTTTACGCGCTTTTCTTTTGTAATTAAGTCCATGACGATATTCCTCAAGGAGCTAGTGGTTACTGTTTTGTCATCTTTATTGTCTTGCGAAACCTGATGACACTGCCGCCAGTTTTATACCCATTCGCGCACAGAGAAAGAAATAGGACACCAACAAGTAAATAGGGCCAATTAACAGAAAATAGGTTGTCCCGTCTCAGGCCTATTGTAGGTCTCAAGAGCATTCAAGAGAATTGTGTGAAGAATACTGAATGGTTAGAAGTGGTTCACGACCCCTCAATCTCCGCCACCTCCGGCCCTACATTCTCAGTTCTTCTTGAAACTGTTCAAATTTTTTTTTTGGGACCCTCTGTCACACCCGACTCTCTAGCTATCTAAGCCTGAAGCAATCTGTTTCCTCTAGTCCTCGTTCCTTTTTTCGCAAGCTTCGCAAAACGAGCAACTCTCGAGAGCTCCGTTAGAGGCTCGATTTTAATTGGTTTTAAAGGCAATGAAAATGAGCGGAAGTTAAACACCATTTACTCGATTGAGCCAAAGTGTTTTTTTAGCTAAGCACGCCCAATTCAACCGACGTCCGATATTTTTGGACTTCAAATCGGATCTTTCCAGGGTCGCTCGTTTCATGACCTCCGGTAAAGGGGAATGACTCGAGCTGCTAAGTAAAGCAGGTCTTCACTCGCAATTCATCAAATCAAGTGACTTTTTGGGCTCCTTCTGTTTCTCTTTCTGAAAACCTATTTAGAGAGAAAAGTCTTGTCCAAAGTCCTTCCCAAATGATATCCTGTTAACACCAAGAATAGTTCACACTAAAACTACAACACTGGAGCTAATCCTGAACCCAGATCTCCCACGACCAAACGTCAAACAGAGTGAGATCTGGGTAGGAGATGACACTTGAGGTTGCTCTGACCTATCCTATACTATGCAACTGTACCCTACCTTACTCTACCATTTACAATCCTACCCCACCCAATGCAATCCTGTCCTGATCAAGAGTTAAAACTCAAAACTCCACAAAATCACTTAGCCACATGTCTAGCAGCACACAACAGCCCTTTTGAGAGATAAACAGACAAAGCAGCAGGCAACAAGAGTGTGAGGGGAGAAGTCCCTGTACTGTTCTGATGAACCAATAAATTCTCAAAATCGAAAAAACTGAAATGTACATCAATCAGAAGAGGAAATTCCCATCCTAACCTACAGATTATTTAGCCATGCTGAGTTTTTAATGCCTATAGAAACAGGAAAAATACTACATGTAATTAGAAAATACTCTTTTAATAAAAAAATAATTCTAATTTTATATAATTTCATGCTAACAGCTCCTATGTATTTCCTTTTTTCTCATTAAAAATGTAAAATACTTCCAATTATATATAATTTCTTGCTAGTCTGTCCACAAACATTTATCTTTCTGCTACGGGTTTCAGCACGTGTATCCCACACACCAGATTAATATTCTGCTAAGCTTGTGATCTTGACCAACTCAAAACAGAATAGAGGGTCTGTGGACAGACTAATTTCATGCTAGCAGTTCCTAATAGTTTCTTTTTTCACAATAAAAATGCAAGCTTCTGATAAAACAGTTATTATAAGCGTGACTCGCTGTTCTATGGGTGCATAAAATAAGGATCAATTTGCATGGAGACAAAGTAATCCTATAGTCAACAGAGACTACAATATTATCTAGTATCATATAAAACAGTTATTATAAGCATGACTCGCTGTTCTATGGGCACACAAAATAAGGATTAATTTGCATGGAGGCAAAGTAACCCTATAGTCAACAGAAACTAAAATATTATCTAGTACCATATGGGACTGCAACGCATGCAAAGTGCTACATCATTTATGCATGTCATGCCCAGGAGGGGAACTCCCATATGAAAAGGTCAGGATGCTCAATGGAAAATTGGAATTAAAACCCACAAAAGAAACCACTTAAAACAGAAATGAAATCATTTCTTCACGTGCAATCCTAAAAGACACTTCAGCTGCTAAAACGAGTGGCATTTCATCCCGAACACTGCGAGTGGGATGAAAATCTCTGATTTACACCACTGAGCAAGACAACGAGAATCCTGGACCTTTTCATATGGGAGTGCCCCCCCCCCCCCCCCCCCCCCTCCCCTCACCACGGATGCCATGTAATCATTTTATTGACATAATTAAGAAAAAAAAATTACCTTACTTCGAAATCTTTCAGGCACATACATGCATTTTTAGCCCAATTTTCATGACTCTGAACCAAACTATTGCTGGCCAGACATTCCCTATAACGCTCCAAAAGTTTCTACAAAAAAGAAAACAGTTTTCCCCTGCACAACAAGAGCACAAAAGCATATTCATGAGCTATACTTCCTATTGAGTCATATTGCAAAATCCAGAGGACCAAGGTAACCAATCAGAAAGCTCCTTTTTATTATGGCCAATGATTTTCTTGTCAATGCTGTGCAATTATATATAAGAAACACTCAACAAAATAACTATCAAAAAAGTACATATTTTTTATGTTTTCATATGGAAGGGCTATCCACAAGTTGCTCTACATTTATAATAACAATAACAATAACAATAACAATAACAACAACAATAACAATAATAATAATAACAATAACAATAACAATAATAATAATAATAAAAGCAATATTTACAGAGGATATCACCAAGTCGACACTAAGTTAATTAGGCCGGTCCTCTATCTACATTACTACAATTTACTATGCGGAATTACAAACTGAAGCTTAAAAATTTTAAATTACAACTTTCGCCGACATTTCCTAAAAAGTCGCTCAAAAGTTGCTGCAAGAATCGAGAAAATTTCTTTTCTTATTGAGAAAGTTTCTTGTCTGTCATCTCGTGTAAAGTAAATTTAAGGTAATTGACCTTTAGAAGTTGAATGTCAGAGTATTTTTTGTAGGTTTGCTTCCAGCAGGGTTGAATTTTTTTCATCTTTACTTGAAACAAACCTACCTCACCACTGCTGACACCTTCAAAGGATCTAAAGAACTTTCTCATTCTTTGCCCAAGTTTCTAGCATGAGCATGAACCATGAATCTCTTTTTTATCATTTTTAGATGGTAAGGGGCCATGCTTCTCAAGGAATTGTTTGGACTTTAACTCCCTAAACTCCCCTTTCCTGAGTTGCTTAGTTATTCTGAAAAATCTGACCAATTTCCATAAGACAGTGGAAACCAGTATGGATCAGTGCCCATGGAGAACTCAATTCAAAGTCCCGTGTGTACACCAACCATCAGATGACCACCCCACCTCCCACAACAGCACTTCAATTATTGTGCAGTTCCAGGAAATATCCATGCTCCCCCACAGAAGGGATTGGAATTTCCTGGGGGGTAGGGGGTTCTGTAAGACCAAATAATTTGAGGAAATGTATGAAGATTAATTGGAATTTCTAGAGGGTTGATATGGGGGGCCGGGGGGGGCAGGTCTTAGAAAAAATCTCTTCCATGGGAGAGGTATGGATATTTTCTGGAACCACACATTATTAAATTAAACAGGAAAAGCTTGAGCAGCAGTTTCAGACATGGAATCAGACCTTGCCCTTTGCTCTGCTGTAATATAGCCCTCAAGAAAGTTCTTTGGACAGCAGTATTGCCAACCATGGTACAGGACAAGACCGATCAGATAAACAAGAGGTACGTATGCCAAGAGGTTTACAATGTTTTCTAGGCCATCACGGACAGACGATGTTGCATCACTAACAATGCTTGAACTGAAGTTTGTGATCAAGCATAAATTGGTAAGAAGAACAGCATCAAGCCTGTTGAACCACTGGTACTGTTCGTTGTAAGGCTGGAGGTACAGGCACATCACAACAATGAGTATACTTGACACATCCAGGAAACATCTCTTCAGGGGCGAAAATGGAACGTACAAGGCAATTATCAGAATGCAAATGCGGCAAATGAAGTAGTATGCCGCAAACCATCTGTAAGTGACTTTGAAGCACCTTTGGAAAGTGTCAAAGTACAGTCTGAAATTGTTCAAGTATGGGAAACGCCTCAAGAACCATGGGGTAAACAGAAGCAGCAGTGGTACAAAGATGACAAAAAGAACAATCCACAGACAGGCGATGATGGTAAATGGTAAGTGTGTTTTCCAGTCCCTTACAAAGTCAATGTTACCATCTGCGTACAGTACCCATCTTCCTTGCATATGCACATAATGGACAATGTTGAAAGAGATTATTGTGACATTTGTGTAACAGAGAACCAGCAGTGTACAGAAGGCATGGGAAACAGTCCTGTTTATGTAACAACCAGGGCAACGTCTTGCAATTTTGGCCAAAACCACAAGCAGAAGAAGAACATATGAGGGGAAAATGTAATTTACCCCAAGTTTTTGAAGATTAGTCATTCCTTTGTAAAGACAAGTTCCACCAACTCTGAGTTCCCAGTTGGCGACACCAATCACAAAAGAGATGAATGGATCAAGGTATTGTCCTTCTCGCAAGAGAAACAAAATTGTCTGATAGGAGTAGAGCCAAGTGTTAAGATATGTTGTGAAAATGTCCAAGTCAATCCGAAATACAATCAACACTAACAGAGGTGTTACCAAACAGAATGCCACTGTAAGCCATAAGTGACTGTTTGAACACGACTGTCTACACTGTTCATTCCCGAGATTCACAGAGTAGCCATCTTTGCATGCCCCACAGAGAACACTTGTACCATTGCGGCCAACAGTACACATTGTTTCAGCATCGTATCGAAAGAATGAATCACCTTTAGAGAAATTGCAGTAATGGGTTGGACATGGGTAAGTACTAAATTTATCTTCCACTGTTCCACCCCAGTATCCTCTCTTCAAGAACACATCCTTGAAGTTGGCACTGCAGTTTGCAATACCAGATTCTAAAGTACTTGAGATACAAGAACAGGTCTTGCTGTCAGTTTGTTCAAAGCCGACATTGCAGCGCTGCAAGGTCAATTTCCCTTTAGAAGAGGTGTGCGTAACGCGACCCACAACTGTGCCAATGTCAACTTTAAATGGCCTACCAACATTTCCAAGAAGGTACAAATTGTTAATTCTCGAAGAATCCCCTTGCACCAGAAACAGATGGGAAGCTGTACCCAGGTTGACACTGCCAGCCTCATTTTTTTCATGCTCATCTGTAATTGTGACCTTGACAACACCCAAAACAGAACTGTTCTTCTCATCAATCAAATGGAGAGTCGCATCAAAGACTTCACTAGGAGAAACCATCCACTCCTTCTCAATGAATTTTATGAAGATCGGATCAGTAGATATCTGTTCTTTAGTGGTCTTGTTCGAATCTTGATACTGAATTACGTTGGGCCACTCAAGAGATTCATTGTTTATGCGGGGTCGTCCACTTTGACGACATCCCTGAAGGGTTGAGGCAAAGACAGATTCTCCACCGCCATTAGCCAACACCCGATTACCCTTAAAAACTAGTTTGGTCTGCCATTCGGTGACCTTAGCCAGACTGAAGCTGTTGTTGTAAGCAAGAAAACATTGCCGAGTCTTAAGTTCTGTTGTATTAAAACCTATAACAGGTGGCCCAGAATCCCTCACGTAAATTGCTCCTCCTCGATCTTCAGCAGTGTTGTTAAAGAAGTTGAGGTTACTGTGGGGCATAAGCATTAACACTGATGTGCCATACAATCCTATTGCACCTCCCTGGTTTCCGCTGTTATTTCTAAAGGTTACATTACCGAGAAAATGTAGCAGTGCATTCTCAATCACCATGGCAGTATTGTCATTGTATTCGATGTTCACGACTCCTTTAAAAATGATGGGAAGCGAGTAAGAGTAGATAGCTCCTTGGCCAATAACCTTCTCATCTTCTGTCAAGATTATAGAGTTGTTACAGAGATAGCAGTCTTTGAGAACAATGACATACAACTTGATTCCTCTAGCGGAAAAGTCCTGAAGACCATTCACAGCTGGTCCAGTGGCCACACCGATTGCAGAGCCTGACGTTGCTCTATTGTTTCTCCAATGACATTTTTCATAGTCTATATGCAGCTTGTCTGCATCACCTGTCAAAGAAGATTTTGAGCTTGATGTTTCATAATACGATACCCCTCCACCCCAGATTGCACGGTTGCTTTCAAATTTGCAGTCTTCGTACTTCATGTTATTGGGATGTAACAACTGCCTATCGCTGTGAGCAGTTACTCCACTTCTGATACCTCCTCCAGCAAAGTGTGCACTATTGTTTATGAAAGTGCAGTTTTTCACCTCAAATGTGTTGTTTTGCACCTGATCATGAAATTCAATGAAAACTCCTGCACCCCACATAGCCTGATTATCTTCAAAGTGGCATCCAGTAATCGAAATAACATTGTTTTCTGCTTTTCCTTTAAGGAATATTGACAAACCTCCTCCCCGTCCAAATGGTATGTGATCATCCCCGGACGGGTTCTCCACTATTGTTTCATACGATTGTCTGGGGGCACTATTGTTTCTGAATGTGCAGTTAAAGAAAGTGAAGGTGCTGTTGGTATCATATTCAGCTAACACTGTAGAATTTACATCAAATGGATCTGTTCCGCCGTGGTAGGTCAACTCCATGTAAACACCGCCCCCAGCAATAGCTCTGCCCGTGTCCGTGGAACTTGTATTAATCGCCTGATTGCTTTCAAACCGGGAATGCGAAATCTGGACATTACCACCTGTGTCATACATGTTCAGCCCAATTCCTGGACTTTGAACTATCCAGCAGTTGTCAATGACAACGTCCTTGCAGTAGACCAAAAAGACAGCTGACAGAAACGGAATATGCGGATGCTTAAACTCACTACCAGTCGTGCTAGCATGCAAGCCGCCACAACCACGCAGTAAGATCCTTCTGAGTGTGATTTTTCTGCTGTTTTCAAAGGAAAGACTCCCTTGATTTCTCAGGCACTCAATGGAGGCAATTGACTCTTGATCTCCGACCAATTCAAACTCGAACAAGTTTGTGAGGTTAAAATGTCGGCTTAGATTGAACGGTGATTGACCAGGTCGAAGCTGCACCAGAGTAGAGTTAGTCACATGTTCTAAAGCATAGTCCAATGTTCTACAAGGACTTGCTGTCCCTGCGCCACTCCAGCACTTATTGCGGTCTATTCCTCCTGTCTCGGAAACCACAATCTTTCTTGTCCACGTCTGCTCCGCGCAGAGCGATGGAATCAATGTTAAAATGCAAATAACAGGTATAATCGAAGCAAAGTATGGTACAGCCATGGTAATTTCCTTCTCCTTTGCTAGCTGCGTGTTCTGGAATTTATAAAATCAGCCGACTTCCACGATTTCACAGAATATTTCTTGACGCAAAACACGGCTTTCCCGGAAAGGTTTGGAACTACGCCAGCATATTCAGGTACGTGCAGTCACGCACTTTCCTGTACAAATCTCATGCGTGACGGTGCGTGCGTGAGTTTAGTGATGAAGCTGCAATGAAAGTTCTTTGAGATTCTTTTCAATCAGCCATAGTTGAAACAATGTTCACACTTTTAGCGCAATCTTCAAACTTAAAGGAATGTCAGATGCAGGTCAAATAGTTACCACTTTGTAGGTTTAGGAATGCTGACAGTTTTTTTTTTTTTTTTCATTTTCGCAGAAATATTTAGTTCAAAGGTTATGTTTTGAAAAATTTTAACACTTGATTGGTCCTAACCAGTAAAAAAAACAATAGAGACCCCCTAAGAGTGCACTCTCTCATTCCAGACTTAAATGGATCAAAACCTTTATTGTTTTGAGGAAACCTCAGTCTGCATGCCACGTGATTATTACGGTTCTCCCGCGCCGTGGCATTATATCAGTGACGTCATTCAATTT